TCAGTTGCAGTGTGTCTTGAACCATTAGAATTGACCTTTTCTTGTCTCACCTTTTCGTTTTTTGTTTGCAACAAGAGTAGAGCAGGGTGAGAATGTAATTCTCTAACACCTGCAAGGCTGACGAAACTAGCAGCCAAAAAAAAAATACATTTATTGATGATCATGTAGCAAACAACCTCGAGGCTCTGCTAGCTGGCTGCATTTCATATAATAATAATAGTTTTTGTTTCGTAATCTGCCTGTTGCTTTTGGTTTTCCATAGATACATAATACTGAGCAGGGCATATGTTAATTCAGTTGCAGACAGTGCACTATAGATGAAGCCAGTGGAGAAGCAAGTTCATAAAACATCCAAGGGAATGGTTGGGCCATGCAACATCTGCTATTCTAAACAGTTAGGTGATTCTTCATTGGGCATTAGTCAGTGAAGGAGGCTTGTATTTGCTACAAAGAAGTTTCCATTTCAGAATATTTCCAGCTAAAGACCATGCTTGTTTGCATAATCATAACAGTGTTTGATGTCAATACTGTTGTTCTGAGCCTATTCTGACATCTGCTACCCTTTATATAACTCTGGGGTTTCAAAATCAACAAGGTCTTAGATTTCCCAAGGCCTTAACAAAAGCAGCAGTTACTATCTTATTCTTTTCAACCTTTCTAGAGTACTGTGGACAAACTCATTAAGAAGACAAACCTGGCCCTTGTGGTTGGGACAAACAGCTGGAGGGAACAGTTCATTGAAGCTATCACTGTCAGTGCTGGTGAGTGCCTTTCTCTGCATGCTATAAATTAAAGTGGCCCAATCTGAGCTGAGTTTTTCCACTGTGACCACTTGGTCGATGGCAAAGCACCAAAGGGCTTCTGTGGTAAAATTGAAAGAGAAATAAATGTATTTGTTGCATGTATGCACATTTTGGAGACTAAATTAGACTCTCTAGATGAAGGAAATGTCTTCAAACATAACATTCTTCTCCATCTATATTGCATCTTTCTCTCTGAAAACAGAAAAGATAAATTTAAAGAATTTTGTGTCTCTAATTTACTGATAGCCAATCATGAGGCTTTGTCAGGAGAATTCCCTGAAAGCAGCACATTCATAGGTGGAAAAGGAAGACATTAAGACACTTTACCATTATCATCTGCATAATTTTACACTCTCTTCAACAGCGTTTAACAAATAAGTGTTTGTACTGGCTCTAGAACTGGAAATAGAATCACATTATGTTTCTTCCTGCACAAGTGCCGAGTTTTATTTAGGAAAATTCTACAACATGAAGGGGTTTTTCAAACTCAAGGAGTCAGAGACCTGATGGAATTAAATACAGAAAGAAGCATCCCCTTCCTGTATTGTCAAAACTTGTCCACTGTCTGTGTGATTGCATAAAGAGAGAAGAAAGTTCCTCTTGAAGATTTATGAAAACAACACTATACTGGTATTTTTCTCACTTCTGATCTTTCTCTTTAAAGATCTGGGTGGACTCATCTTCTACTGTTGCAGCTAATGAACAAAGCTAGAGTTTTCTAAATAGTGATTCCCAAGCTACAAAATATGGAAACAGCGTCATTAGCAGTTGGGCCGTAACTTCTCACACACCCTCCTCTTTCCAATCTGCCACAGGATAATTTGACATATTTCCCAAGTGCTGTGCGAATGGAAAGTGGTAAAAAATTTTATGCCTGTTTATTATTAGTGCTGTTTATAATCATGCTCTGGTTTCTTGCAAATGAGTATACAATGGTAATTTACAAACATTAAATGGTGGGTAACTGCTTAGGAGAGCGGATTTGGAATTAACGCTTAAGCTGTAATTAGGAAGAGGGAGAAACTCCCTCTTTATGGTTTATGTTTTTCTGTAAACCTACGATTAGCATCTGAGGCATGAGTATCCTCCCTCTTCACAGAAAGAAGAACTAAAAAGACAAAAATGGCTTAAATATGGAAACTGCTGATGAGGCCAATAGCAGAAAGCATTAAAAATGAAAAAAAAAATTGTTTTATGTGCTTTGAGATATTGGAATTGAAATGCTATAAGAAATATAAGCCTTGTAGTGAGCCGTTCCTAGTAGCCTCCAGGTTTCCTCTGGCTGCAGGTATATGAGCATTTATATAAGGGCAGTGGGCTGGTCATCGTACATTCATTTTTCTGCATTTCCATCATTGTTCTTGGTGCAAAGAATATGACAGTGAATGACACAGACAAATGTTCGTGCCTGAGCTGAGCTTACATTGCAATGGAGGAGACAGAAAGAAGACAAAACAGTTAAAGTGTATGTTTGATATGAGCTCGTCATGGACAACAGTAAAGCTGTGGAGGGAGACAGAAAGTGTATGCAGGGCTGCAATTTTAGATAGGTAGCCAAGGTGACACTGTCTATAGACACATTAAGGCCGAATTTGCTTTTCTAGCAGTGAAGTAGTTTTCTGCTCGTTCATTCACACATTTTTGTAACTCTCAGGGACCATGGCAAACATTTTTAGGACCAGTCTATGGCAATAGAAAAGGGCAGCTTCAAACAGGGAGTGAGATGATACCACCAATAAGGCCAAAGTCATGTACTTGATTCTGGTCAGAGCAGGTATACAGAGAAACAACTATAAAGATCATAATACTACCTTACTTGAAAGAGATGAATTTTGGCTTGCAAACACTTTCATATATTAAGTTGAATTAAATCCTCCTGGTGTTATGATTATTCTTGCCTTTTAGAGGAAGAATCTGAATCTCAGAGAGGCAACATGGCTTTGGAACATAGCTCAGAGGCCTGATCTACTAAACACTAGTCCAATGTGCTGTCTTCTGCCCTTGAGAGAGAGAGAGAAATTTCAAAGTGAGGAAAGTTGCACTCACCTCTGCCTCATTGACCTTGGCCTTGTTGTCTCCTGATGCCAAGCTGTCATCATTCCATGATGGGACTAACTCCTGCCCAAATCTTCTGAAGAACTGTTAATGAATGAAATGCAAAGCCCTTCCCATGTTTCTATTTGTCCTGCAATATATGGTTCTATATTTCTAAATAACTACTTGAAAAATAAGGTGCAATTGCTTAGAAATTTGCAGGCTGCTTGGTAAGTTGACCTTATTTATAAATTTGAGACACAAAGAATCAGAAAAGCAAACCCATATTTTATAGGCACTTCATTATACTAAATTACGTGAAAGGCAGTTTTAAAAGCTCAATATTTATCGCTGTAATTAAATGTAAGTGTCTAAAGAATGTTAGTATTCTCAGGTTGTTACATGGGCAATAAAATTTGCAAAGGAGCATTTATTGAAGACAGGTTTTCATTGGATTTTAAGACTTCATGGCTAAATAGTTGAGAATTAGAAAGATTTGCCTTATTAAAAGTATTAAATTGCTTTTAAAGGGCTCTGCCGAGAGGTTTTTTCCTGTGCAATTTTCTGTGCAAAATTAAGTCTATATATCTTGCTAAACAAAAATAATAATTTTGTAAGTAGGATTTTTCTTCTTTTTCTCACTAACTGTATTCAAACTAGTTTGAAGGTAACCGCCTGGTAGCCTTTTTGTTCCCCTGCTTTTCCTGAATTTTATAGCTCAGTACCTGGGCCTCCTGTGACCATAATGTTTCTGTGAACCAAGTTCCTATAGTTCGATATTTGAAGAGTTAAGGACTATGAGACTCCAGAGATTAGGAAGGGATTAAAGTCATGTCCCAGCCATTCTCCTTCTGTTGCTTCCTGGGGTGAATACCAGGAGCAGTGGTGTGCAGCAGTTAAATGACTGTCAAAAACTTGCAAGGCAAGTCCAGTACCTCCAGGTGCTTTTAAGATGTGTCAGCACATGCACTTCTAAGTGAAGCCAGCATTCACTGTCTGTTCAATTTGAATTTCCCCCAATTCGCTCTTCTTCCTAGTATCTCCACCAGGGGAGAACGGTGGGTTGACTTTAAGAAATCGTGGGCCAGCTGGGATATAAGGGGAAATGGTTGCATCTGAGAAGAGGGAAAACACTAGCTGGGTAGAGAACCAGGATGCCAGTGATAATGCCACAACCCCCCTACTATTATTCTTCACAACAGCCTTGGGCCGAGTCAAAGTAAAGGAGAGAGTGATTGCAAGGCTGGCTTTGGAGACAAGTGTGGGTTTGGGTCCCAGCCCTCCAAAACTCCGAGTGTGACTCTGGGCAGATTACTTCACCTTGACATCTCAGTTCCTTCATATTGATGCCAGAAGAGAGGGTCTGGGGAGGCCCTATGGCCAGCCTCAATCCATCCCATCCTCTTACCAGGTTCTTGACTATGCCACAGGAAGGAATTCAAGAGCAGAGTTGTGGTAGAAAGTGAGAACAGGTTTCGTGTAATGAATATGAGATACAGGTTTTCACAGAGGAAGTGCAGCTTAACTCCAGAGACTGAGCAGGGCCCACACCAAGTTTAATACAAAAGTAAGAAACACATATTCATAGACAAAGTGCAGGCTGGCTCTAGGAGAGTGAACAGAAGCCCCACCTTCTACTGGGATTCCACTTTTATAGTTTCACTGTCTAATACATATTCATGATATCTAATGAATATTCAACCAAGGGGGTGGTTCCAAGTTATGTAACCTAGTCTTGCACATGCTCCGTCTCTTTTAGAGCATGCTCATTCGTTAAATTCTATCACATGCATAGAATATGTTCAAATATATTCTATGCTCTCTAGCACCTCCAGTGGGAAGTCATTCAAAGAATAAATTCCACTTTACTGAGCACACTCAGCTACTCAGTTTTATAACTCCTTTCTACCGAGCATGCTCGGCCACTGGATTTGCATAAATCTGCCCCTTGTGGTCTCAATCTCCCAGTGCTGGTGCGGAAAATGGGTGCCACAGGCCACCATAGCTCAAGACGCAGGGGCAGAGCTTGAGTCCTAGGAGAGTTGCTTAAGACTCAGGAGAGTGGCCTGAAATCTGATCCCAGGGGACTGAGCACATCATATCTCAATATGTAAAGTGAAATAAGTGTGCTTCACTCATGGAGTTGCTGTAAGGATTAATTACAATGATGCATGTTTTCAGGAAGGCCAAAATTGGTTGATTGGGAGACCAATCACATTGAAGATTCTACAATAAAATATAACCAAATTTTGTGTAAATGCAGTTAATTTAATTACTAAAATGGCTGAGTGACCAAAAAGCACACTGGTTGACCTTTTTGTTTTGTGGTGAGTATTACACATGCCAATTTATAGATAAGAATACTGAGATTCAGAAAACAATGTAACTTGCTCATGAAGCAAAACTGGTAAGGAGCAGTGCCAGGGTACAAATCAGCCCAGGATTCTCTCCAGTGTGAAGGGCACACTTGCTTGTCATGCCTGGGGCCTGAGTGCACACATAGACACACACACACAAACATATATGTAGAACATACATAACACAGATACACACGGACATGCTTGCATATACACAAACGTGAAAACACAGAGGCACCCCAACAAACATACATAAACACATGCATGCACACACACAGACACAGACATACAGAGACACAAAACACATGCACATGGAGACATGTACATACATCTTATATTGTATGTATTTGGATATTTGAGCTGCAGTTTGAAATATGAAGGTGTTTTTCCTTAGTATTTGTTAAGTCTCCTTCCAGCCCAGTTCATATTTCTTTGGGGAGGATGCCAGTCAATCCCTAAAGAACAAAGGGAAGTATTTGTTTTCCTAGGTGCATCCATAGGCTTTTCCTGCCTAGGAATTTGTAACATTCTTTGAAGAAAGTCAACACACTACCCTCTTTTTTACCT